GGGCTGCCGCGTACATAAGGTGGCACAGGCTGCCACCTTAGGGTGCACCGGCTCTGGGGGCGGGACGCTAGATTAGAGTGACTGGCAGGAGGGTCGTCACAGTGCTCCCCCCTGCCAGTCACTAAGTGTAGTGTGGCCGAGCAGAGCAGACTGCGGTACAGGAGCCTCTGATTCCTGTACTTGGCCGTACTGACAGGAAGTGCTCACTGAGAGGAATCAGAAGCTCCTGTACTGCAGTGTGCTCTGCTTGGCAATGCTACAAGCAAGGAAATGAGGCATGCAAAGGAGGAAGGGTAGCGCACCACTAAGGGGGGAAGAGAGGAACACTAAGGGACAGGAAGATGGGACAGTAAGAGGAAAAAGAGACACAGAGGAGCTGAGGGGAGACAGGTGGGTTGGGAGAGAAGGAGACACACACAGGGGCTGGGGGGAGTAAGACACACAAGTGTGTTGTGTGAGATACCCTTTTTGGGGGGGAGGCAGGAGTGTGCCAAAATCATCTTTGCCTGTGTACCCAAAAATCCTTGCACCGGCCCAGCACACACGCTGACTGCTGAATACCAACACACACTGCTAAAAACACACAGACTGCAATGAGGGGTGCAGTGTGTTTGTGTGTAGGGATGCAGTGTGTGAGAGGGGTGCAGTATGTGTGTGTGAGGGGTGTAATGTGTGTGAGAGAGGGGGAACAGTGTGTGAGTTTGCGTGAGGGGTGCAATGTGTGTGTGTGTGTGAGAGAGGTGCAGTGTGTGTGTGTGTGTGTGTGTGTGTTTGTATAGTGCAGTGTGTTTATGTGAGGGATTCAATGTGTGTGAAGGGTGCAGTGTGCTGGTATACACATGTTTTATATAAATGCTTTTTATTTCCAGTCCAACCCTGATTACATAGATACAGAGATGAATATATAACTGAAATTGAATGTTTTCTTTCACCCTCTATTAATTTGATAATTAATCTATCAATTAATTACTTTGATATCTGATCTTGTTGGGGTTCTGCAGTTTGGAAACCACCCCAATAAGTAATTCTTTGACTTTGATCTCATGGAAGGAAGTCTTAAAGTTAAAATATTAAGTAGTGCAATATGATATAATTTATGTATAATTTCAAGGTTAGTCAAATAAAAGATGAAAAAGTTAACATTTTTCAAGAGTCTGCAAATGATTAAAAACCACTTCCTTATTTTATATAAGAAAGATATATAAGAAACAAATACTCGTAAATGGGATTTTGGCAGCTGTATCCATATGCATTCTTTAGGACACAAATTTGAGGAAAAATACATGTAAATCACTTTAGCTGATAAAAAAATAAACCATTTGAATCCCAGAAACTGACCAACACATTACATATAAAGAAGATCAATCGTTTCGGTTTTGATGAATCCAGTTACTCCAACACACTCATATAAAGCAATGTTTGATGTTTCAGTAAGGTAATAAAAAAGCATAAAATAGTAAATCTCAGAATGATTACTAATCGGGTCTGTTGTAATATTAAGGCCCAATAATAGTTAATTAGTCATCAGAATCTGATGCCAGCATGGAATATTCCACTTATTTAAAGGATTTCTCAAACCACCATGACCACCTCTGATTTTAGAAGTGACGTAGATGGTAGAAGTCCATATGTACAAAGTTTCTATTTGAAACACTACACATAATGAGATATTTGAACTTTTGTCAAAGTCAAAAAGGCCAGTCACATGCTTCTTTGATTGAACCCAGGAGATGAAGTCGGTGACTCTGCATGACGGTCAGATGGGGCATTTACTTTTTTTCACTTTAAAAAACAACAAAAACAACAACAAAATATATTTAATCCCTTAAGGACCGAGGACGGTTTAGGACCGTCATCTGCATTTTTGCATTGCCGACTGATGACGGTCCTGAACCGTCCTAACGGTAAGATGTACTTACCCGATCGCTGTCATTCCCCTGGCGGCGATCGGTGGTGCTCCCGTTTTGGGGAGACTGACTGCAACCCAGACAGTCTCCCCATGGCGGATTAGGACCCCTAGGGCCATGTGATCGCTCAACGGAGCGGTCACATGGTCACAATAGGTGTCCATGTGTCTGCCTGCAGGGGGACTGTCTGTGCTGACAGGCAGTCTCCCTGCATGTGTAAAATAAAAAGAAAATTGAAGTTAATGTTAATAATAATACCCAAAAAATTATATATGTGTGTGTGTATATATGTTTATATATAATGTCATACTAAATGTATTTTTGTATTAATATGTACATATATTAATATAAAATACATTTATAATCAAATTACACGTGCGTGTGTGTGTGTGTGTGTATATATATATATATATTTATATATATATATATATATATATTGTATGTATATATTATTATAAAATACAAATAATTAGATTAAATTAAAAAAATAAAAATGTAGAAAAAATATATGAAATTTTATTCAAACTGTATTTTGATATTAAATATCACTGACTTAGGCTGTTGTTGGCATGACTTAGAATCAAATTGTATATATCTATGTATATAAAAATAATACGAAATATACATATGTCCATATATAAAATTACATAAATAATTATATAAATATACACATAGACTTCAAACATATAAATATGCATATATATTTAAATTCTACGTGCGTATTTATGTAATATTTTTACATAATTGAGTAATTTTATTAATTGCAATTTGAGGGACCTGCCTGCCAACCCAGGCCGAAAGTCCAGAGAATTTAATTTGCTAGCACTGTACTTTTACCCTGTAACTTTCTATGACACCCTAAAACCTGTACATGGGGGTTACCATTTTACTCGGAAGACTTAGCTGAACACAAATATTAGTGATTCGAAACAGTAAAACATATCACAGCGATGATATTGTCAGTGAAAGTGACTTTTTTCGCATTTTTCACACACAAACAGCACTTTTACTGATGATATTGTTGTGATAAGTTTTCCTGTTTTGAAACACTAATATTTGTGTTCAGCAAAGTCTCCCGAGTATAATAGTACCCCCATGTACAGATTTTATAGCGATTTTGAAAGTTACAGGTTCAAATATATGTGTCAAATATTTTTAAATTGAAAATGGCCAGGTTGGCTATGTTGTCTTTGAGAGCATATGGTAGCCCAGGAATGAGAATTACCCCCATGATGGCATACCATTTGCAAAAGAAGACAACCCAAGGTATTGCAAATGGGGTATGTCCAGTCTTTTTTAGTAGCCACTTAGTCACAAACACTGGCCAAAATTAGCATTCAATTTCAATTTTAGCATTCAATTTAGTTTTTTACTTTTTTCACAAACAAATATGAACACTAAATTTTGCCAGTGTTTGCGACTAGGTGGCTACTAAAAAAAACTGGACATATCCCATATTGAATACCCTGGGTTTTCTACTTTAAAAAAAAATATGTACATGTGGGGTGTTATTCAGAGATTTATGACAGATAATAGTGTTACAATGTCACTATTGATACATTTGAAAAGATGTATGTTTTGAAACCGCAATATCCTACTTGTACCTATAACTTGCAAAAAAGCACGTAAACACTATTTTAAAACTTAGGACAAAATTTTTAATGTATTTAGCAGTTTGGTTTTTTATTCTCTTTTGTAGATGAGTAAAAGATTTTTCAAGTAAAAGTCCAAAAACATGTATTTTTTTCAATTTTTCATCATATTTTTTTATTTTTTTTTAAATTAAATTACATGAGATTATATAAATAATGGTATGTAAAGAAAGCCTTTTTTGTCCTGAAAAAAATAAATATAATTTGTATAGGAACAGTAAATGAGAGAGCGGAAAATTACAGCTAAACACAAACACCACAAAAGTGTAAAAAGAGGCCTGATCGCAAATGTACAACATCGCAAAAACAGTCCAGTCCTTAAGGGGTTAAATGTGTTTATTTAGGATCTTTTTAAAGCTTAGTTAATTTTGACAAAACTATCCCAGCATTATTATTTAACTTTTGACCTATGCCGAAACCTACTTAATATTATTATTTTTTTTTTTTTAATTCTTTATTTTTCGTTATGCAGAGCTTAACATTTGTTTGATAGTGCCACAATAGCGTTTTCAAGCAGGAAAATAAACACAATAGTTGTACATATGTGGAATAGAAATAACTGCACATTTTTTGGATTATTTAAACAAGCTTATACATGCGATTCTGTGTTTGTAACATTCTATAGTGTACGATTTGTTAGATCTCATTATGTAGGTATCTGATTAGTTTGCCTATGTGTGTCCAACATGCTTGACTGCATTCATGCTATCAATTGCTAAGAACTATACTTTAGAGCACTAGAATACGGGTATTATGTATGTATGGTCATGTGTAACTGATACCGATATATTTAACGTCTAAAATCTCTATGTAGATTAGTAACAGGAGTTCACCACAATAAGCAGGATCTGTAATGTCCTCTTTGCCCTTGTAGCTCTTCAGTGTGCCATCAGGTCACATGGCTCTTCTCACCCCTTCATCCCGTGCCCTGTCTGAGGAGAGGTTGGTGGTCGCTTTGTGGTTTGCCGGTTTTATGCAGTAAGATGCTCTTTGCGGGAGTGTGGGGCAGTGCTGCGCCTGTTTACCACATGGTGTCCCAGCTCATGAATCCACCATCTTGTAAGGTCATGGGTGTCCGAGACCCGTTTGCTTGGGCCCTGTTTTTGCAACCCGCTGCCGCTTGCCTTTTGTGATGTGTTCGGGGCCTCCCTGGGGTGGTAGGTGTACGCTGCCGTATGGGTCACTTCACCTTGCTGGTTTTCTCCTTTTCCTTCTGGTTGCGTGTTGGTGCAGAGCGTTTAGTGGGTTTGTGTGGGTTAATCTGTGGCATCATCGGGTCAGCTACAGACTGGTCAGGCTGTTATGTACCTCTTTGCCTTGCTGCCAGTTTTGCCCAGAATCTTTCGAATATTAGGTTTAGTCGCTTCTGTGAGGCTGCAAGGTAGGCCTTAGTTGTGGAGCTGTCCGTGCTGTCCGCCATCTTGTGTGCCGCTTCGTGATATCACGCAGTGGGCTCTAAGTGCAGCGGTGGTGAGCCTCCGGTCCAAAGGGGGGTGAGGTAGAGGTCCGCCAAACTGAGTGATCTGCGCTGGAGAGCGGCCGTCTCTCCAGTGTTTTCTTTGCTGGTACGCCGCAGTCGGTTGAGGGTCGGTGGACCGGACTCGAGTGGTTCAACGTTTGGTGTCTTTCGGTTCCCCGTGTTCCCGTCTCTGCTGCCCTCGTTTTTTGCGGTAAGTTCCGCTGCTTGGTTGCTCATGGGGTTCGTTTTAGCTTTCTGGGCTCAGGAGCTTGTGCTACCTGCGTCCATTCGGCTTGCCAGTCAGGCTCCGCCCCCGTACTTAATATTTTTTAATTAGCTCCAGTGAAACAGATGTAATTAATTAGGGGTACAAAAATATTAATTTATTTATCTGTGGTTTGATTTAATGGAAACACTTTGCATACTGGCAAAAGTTCTGACTGCCTACAGTTCGTACCAAGAACAGATAGCAGGACAACCAGTCTGCTGGAAATTGAGAGAGAGAGAATTTCCATGCAATCTACACAAAAAAAGAAGTAATTCACATATTTTTTGTACATCAACAGTTTCGTGTAATGGGAGTAAAGCTCATTTCATTTTTGACAGCTTAATGTTACTTTTTAATATAACAGACATGGGGAACTAGATTTTTTTTCTTTTTACGTTCTTGAATAACAGTAAGGGTTTATTAAGTAAAGTACCATTTGAAAGTCACAGTGACTTTAACCGTTTGAGTCCCAGGACAAATCTTGTCACTGTTTAAGTATGGTGGAAGGTAAACTGAGACTTCTTTTTTCTATGTATTGAGTGTAAAAAAAAGGTTTTCAAGGTCAGATAAAGGAAGTTTGGGACCAGGAAGGAGTTATTAAAATGAGACTCTTATAACATATCCATTATCACACATCAATAACTTGAATATTGCAAATGGAAATAGACACAAAATGCAAATTCCAAGTACTGATTTAGCAAAGACAAGTGCAGCCATTTTATTCCAGAAAAGCAGATGATATTTAACCATCTTAAGGCTGCTGTCAAAAAGGACCCTAAGGTTGTTCAACTTTAGTACAGGAGTTGGTCAAATCCCATTAGTCAGAGGAGCATCAATCAAATCCTGCGTAACTTCGACCACCGTTCCACCTGCAGGGACAGATTTCTCATTAAGTCATATAAACATGTTCTGTGGTGCTTTACAGCTCAGGGGTGCCATTTTACCTGAACGTGTACCATTTTCTATATTTTACACATCATTTCAGTATTCTCCAGTAACAATATGTTATTATATACTTATATTTTTATCCCTTATCTCTCAGTTTTTTGTGTTGAAAGAGCAGGTAAAAATTTAGTTTGTCTCTCGTCCTATGTATAGGAGTGGTTAAAATTATAAATCCATCAAATTGATCATGGGCACAGTCAGTTAAATCCCCTGATTATTATGTTTCAAATTACCCTTCAGAATGTTAATGCATGAGAGAACAGCCATGCGTAACAATTGTTCAGTTATAAGTAGTGTGTTCTGTAGTTGTTTTTCATAGCATGATAAACGGTTACTTCTGAAGAAACAGTAAACAAAACATACCTACCAACAGTCCTGATTTGGAATGACACCCGTGATATTGTGTGATTGTCTCAGGTTTGTTCATTGTTGTCTAACTTCTGTGGACACCAAAGACTCCACCAATCTCAGTGTGATTCATTATTTGACGTTCTTGGGGCATTTAGTCCCCACAAAAGTGCTTTATCGACACTATGAGGATTCGCTAAACTGAATCTATGTTAGCCAGTGCAGCTGTCAGTCAGCATTGCATTTATGCATGGCCTGCTGATATGCTCCTTACAGCTCCCCCAGTAGGCGAGAGGTTACTGCCGTATAGGATGTTCCCTTACCGAATGCTGAGGTAGCTACTGAGCGCTCCAAACTGTCGAAGAGCAATCACACGAACCCGTTGGTCTCCAAAAACAGCCGAACAACAATCACACGAATCAGTCAGTCTCCCAAATAGACGAACAAGCATAATTCATACGAATAATCCCCCCAATGACGAGACAAAGATCCGTATTGAGGGTCAGCAGGAATCTGTTTACTGAGGGCTACCTGCCAGGTATTTATGCAGGTCTCCCACCTGGTGGACACTCCCCTAGGGGACCAGATGGGGGACTGTGACAAGGTCATTACAACAACCAATCACAGTGTTACACATGTAGCCATGCCCCTTTACTTACCCAAGATCCTCTGCTCTGCCCGGGAGATAATTGTGAAGTAATTCAATTATCTCCCTGGACAGAGACCAAACGCCATTTTAAATTACTATAACAAAATGCATAAAAATATATAAATTTACAATAACTGGACATAATACAGGCATTCAACGTGTCCCCAGATAGCTGGGATCTGAGCGCACAAAAGTAACGAATAGCGTTCAGATCCTATGCATACAGACCAATTGCCGTGGAGTCAAACGTGTTCACACAGTCTGTTCTTCATACGAATAGACTCCACGGGATGGCTACATGGGTATGGCTTATTCGCGGACAAAATACCGAATACAGGGATTTTCGGGAGTTCTCTACCGAAGGAGAAGGGAGGTCGGCGGCTTCAGCGATGTTCGGGCCAAAAAGTGTCCGTTTTGAGTTCCATGGGATTACCGTCGAACACCACTGAGCGTTCGCGGATTTAAAATGGCCGTGACCTTGTGTTCGGGATACGAATGGCGGCCACCCAGCTACAGGCATCAATTAAAAGGTGTCTGCGGTTAACCTCAACATTCGAATGGGGCCAAGAGGTTAACCAGCAGCACACTTCTCTACTGGGTGGCCGGCCGTTCAGGAGTTTTATTCGGTAGTAAAAAAGGGGAATGGTATAGAGTCTACATGAACGGGAAAGCATGAATTAACCCAGCAAATGAACGATAAGTCTCTGTAAGTTCAAGACAGACATCTGTCACACATCCTTTTAGAGCCCCATCACTTTTTCGAAAGGAGTCATTTCTGCATCTCCAACGACAAGCAGGAATATAGAATGGTCATGGGTGCTAATTTGCTAGGGTAGCTCTCAAGTTATGTCCCTACATTCCACTATTATCCCTCTTTCTTTTGCCTCTGCCATAGGTAATATTGTTCACTTATAGGCAAGGCAGTAATCAGAACTATTGGGGCCCCTTACAAACCAACTGACTCGAGCCCCTCTGACAAACATGCATACGCGATTCTTCCAGAGATGCCTTTATATATATATTCACATACAGGCACACACTCAGGGTCATCTTTAATGCGGGGCAATCGGGGCAGCCGCCCCGGGCCCAGTTACTGCCCTGATCTATTTATTCCCCTCCACCTCTATGGGCCCGCCTGGGGAGCTGGGGGCCACACACTAGGGAGGTCCCATGCCCTTAGGGCCACCCGATGGGCTTGTTTTAGCAGGGGCCCAGTTGGGCACTGTGGCCCTTTAACAGTGGCCCTTTAACAGCAGACCGGGCTCCATGCTTTTCACCAACCGCCTGGGAGGAAGTGACAGACGCGAGTCACTTCCTCCCACAGAGAGAGAGAAGCCACCCGGGAGGAAGAAGCAGACAGTGAGGAGGGGGGCTCCTCACACCCATCAGCCTCAGGCACCACACTGGACCCCAGGGAAGTCACCCTCCAGAAAAAGGAAGGAAACTGGAAGGTTGGTTTAAAAAATGTAAATTGCACATGTGTGTGTCAGTATGTCTGTCAGTGTATGTGTAATTATATCAATGTGTGTGTGTGTGTATATGTGTGTGTGTCAGTATGTCTGTTAGTGTATGTATCTGTGTGTATCAGTATGTCTGTCTGTGTGTGTCAGTATGTCTATCAGTGTGTTTATCAGTGTGTGTCAGTATGCCTGCCAGTGTGTGTGTTAGTATGTCTGTGTGTGTGTGTGTGTGTGTGTGTCAGTATGTCTGTCAGTATATGTGCCTATGTGTGTCCGTATGTCACAAGGTTTATACTGAAATTTTATATTTTTACTACCACTTTTTCCATAAATTTACAGTAGGAGGAAGGCTGCCTCGGTAAGAACGCATGTTGTTGGCATGACTGTGTGTACCAGTGCAGCGTTCCTTTCTCCCCTGAGCATCTTTAATAGAGCCATGTGAATAGGTGATCTGACATCCTCTCCTCCAAGAATCAGATTGTCCAGCACAAGTCTTCAATCATACGTGATTCTTTATTAAAATGACATCAAGGTTTGATTAAGGACTTGTGTGGCCAAACCATTACCATTCAGTCTGTCACTTTAATCAAGGATGACATTAGATTGAAGGTTTGTGCTGGACAACCTGCATCTTTGATATTGCTCCTGGTTGTTGGCGAAACTAAAGTCTGTGCACCTTGTTTGATATCACTTCCTCCCAGCACAGCTGTGCAGGAGTGGAAAAGGGGTGGACAACATAGTCAGAAAAGGTTCCCACTACTTTACAATTCCATAATGCAGTTCAATTTGAGAATACATTGATATTAATTCATGTGAATCACATAGTGTAACAGAGACCCATAGAGGCCCTAGTGCTCAGTTGACTCCTGGCTGTGCCCATAGCTGCTCTGCTCACGGGGTGTTTATTCTCAGGTCAGATTGTGATTTTATTTTGCAGGGCATATATGCTAACAATATACAGAGATCCCATTTATAAAGTGCCAATTCTGTTAAACATAGCAAAATTAAGGAAACCTCCAGAAACATCAAGATGAACCAATCCCAAGGCTACTGTCTAATCAAAAAGGAACCCCAAGGCTACTATCTAATTTAATGTTATCGGTGCTGTTATTTCCTGTTGTGAAGTAAAATAGGGGTTTTCCCACTGTAATCTTCAGTATAGTGAAGTTCAGAATATACTGGATAAAGTCTAGATTTGTTACATTTAATTACAATTCTGTGTGCCTTTCCCTATCTATTCAACTAGCAAGATTTAGTTTAGTGTAATTTAATGCGTCTTTAAATATTTTTTATTCTTTTTCATTTTTTTAAAGTATTTCCATTAGCACATTTTGAGGTTCACTTCTTTTCAATTCTAAGAGACGTTGCTCTTACAATACATCAACGAGTCAAGAACTATGTCGTGCCTTGCGTGTTCTAAAAATTAGCGAGGTTACATCTCGTGCACCCTACAGCTGTGAAAGGTCTGGCAGATGTATCACTGCAATTCAACTAATTTGCCCTGGGGAAAATGAATCTTTTGCGATGTCTTGCTGTGGGGAAAAAATAGCACTGTGTGCATTACACT